TGCGTTCTGATAAACATCTTTGAAGCGGCGTTTTTTAGACTTATCCTCTGATTGGCTTTTTATGCAGAAATTGTTATATTTGGGCTCTTATAATAGCACCTTTAAACTTTGTAAAGGCTTGTAGGCAGGCCATTAACAACTTCGCTTTGCAGCATAGACAAGCTTACTGGATTCCTTCATAAGGAAGGCGATGCTTTTCAGCTTCCTTTAGGTAGTATAAATGGGTAGAAGACGATGAGGGCAATATTGCGGCTTCTCCATTTATTTCCGATTACCTTATTTCATGGAAAACAGCAAGACTTGCGTATGAAAGCCATACACTTGGCCGGTCTTTAGTAGCACGACTACAATATTATTATAACTCCAGAAGGATATCTTTCTCATATAAAGAAAGGAAAAAATATATGGATGACAATTCACTTGATTTATTTTTTGATACTTAAATGAGAAATGCGACTTCATTCAATAAATGATCACGTAAAAGTACATAGAAGAGCTTTTCATTCAGCTGAATTTGCACTATACATAGATAAATGCCGCCAAATAACGCATATTGAAATTTTTATAACTTTCTTTTTAGTTTTGTGGAATTAGCATTCAATTTAATTTTCCCTGCCTCGCCTCTATTGTTGTCGTACCACAACTAATAACAAAATTTTTCAAAAATTCCATTCCGCCACCCAATTTATAAATCTCCGTATCACCTGCAATTTTGGAGCCTAACACTTTTGTTTAACTACGAACTCCTTCACAGTGGACTATAATTATCAATTGCATAAACAAATCAAGCTCAATGCTGTTCGTATATGCATCCGTATCATTAAAGTGTTATTAATATGCTATCAGCATGCACATACATACATACTGACTCACTGCAAATACCATACCCATATGCCGCATGACGAAAGACTCAAGACACAAACTTGCTGGCGCTTAGCTTACCTATGAATGTATGTACATTAACTACACTTACTCCATATGATTTCCTGCTTAATTTAGTGTAACATTTGATGTATGGTATTTTTTTCTTAAATTCATGCCTACAAATTACCGCTTGATTTTTTTACGCGCATTAATGACCATCATTTTTGGTACACTTAATCAACTTTGCCACACTAATTTCCATTGGTTTTTAAATGATAGAATTAGTTATTGCTTTTTTGTTTTCATAGTGGTTTATTGTTAATCCAATTAATTTAATCTCACTGCTGTGCATTATTCACGTATCATCATTAATTTTGTACGGTGCAATGCATCAATTATGAGTTATGTATGCGGAACCAAATATGTGGCGTAAAGCCATATGAATGATCACCCCGCTCATATTTTATTTTTATTTTATTGAAGCATGAATTGTAACAAATGAAGTCAAATCTTTATTTATAATTTAATGATTCTAAGATATTTAAGTACGATTTTTGTTGTTAGGTTTTGACTCAGTAGTAGAGTTTTTTCATTTCCTTCCTAACGCCAGCTGATACTAGTTGAAAACAGCAAACTCAAAGCTAGCAGCTTCGGAAGGTACTGAGTAAGAAGCATATTTTGTTCTAAAGGAAAATATATAAGAATATTACGTTTATGTATTTTTTTTTAGTTCTATGCTGCATAAAAATATATACATATATGCATGGTCGGACGGTGGCGCATCGATTCCGTCGTCATCGACTGTATGTTCGGGGTCATCCCCTCCGCTGGTTTCATTATGAACATTAGCTACTAGGGCGGTGTGATTGTTCCCATCCCTTTTTATTAAGAAAAATAGTCGCGTTACATCCGACCCTTCCGGCGGCAATACCTAGTGAGCTGGTATTAAAAACGAGGGAAAATATGATTTCTTCGTGCTGTTATTGTAGCTTTTCATATGAAACTTTCCTTATGTTGCACATTTGCTCCTGTACAGAGACCTCTGCGAATTTTCGCTGAAAAAAAATAGTGATCTCAGTTGAGAATACTGGAAATGTGCCTTCTGTATTGTGATTGACATGCTTTCACCTGGAGACATACATGCAGCTTGATGGGTGTCCTTAGACTAGAGCCTTGGGCTACACAATACCATGCATTGGGCGACGGCAAAGTCGATCAGCCTTAGTACGTCATCGGATGTTTTTTTGGGATGGGACAAAATAAACCTTCCTTGTCCACACTGAATTTCGCTTTGATGCGGATTGTGTCGCGGCGATCTTTAATGGGGGTAAACGACAGTAGGTACTTAGCAACGAAGCCTCTGCTTTACGACAAATCCGACACCAATTTGTCGCTCCTTTATTGGGCAGCTCTAGAAGGCATCAAAAGGTAATACGTCTGATTTGATTTGTCCTGCTTTACTATTTTCGAGGACAGCATTAGTCTACCAGCTGGGTAGGCGTATGCATCCGAATTATAGTCCTTTAAATGTTTGTCGAAATCGTTTCCAAAAAAGAAGGGTCATATACAAGGATTATCGAATTTTGTCATTGGAAGGGGATTTTTACGTGATGGGTCCCAAACCCAGCGCATAAAAGTTATTTTTAGGATACAAAAACTTACCATACATTCGAAAACTATGATTTCTGGAGAAAATCGATGCTCACAAAAATTAAAAAAAGTGCATTTGATTAAAACATATTTTTTTGCAAAACATTCTTTCAGTATTTTTTGGGAAAAGATAAATTAATTTTGAGATAAAATAATATTTTTATATTTATTTAGAATTGACAAAAATTTTAAGAAAAAGAAAAAAGTTATAACTTGACAAACATTACAAAAGATTAAAAAAGTATCATAATAGTTATTTGAAGGGAATAATTTGTTGGGTAAAAATAATCTATTTTTTGGTAAAATAAAAATGTTAATGTATTCTTAAAAAAGAAGTCTATTTTTGAGAAAATTTTTCTTCTTGGAGATTTTTTTTTCGTTTCAATTAGTTTTTTAGGTACTTGGTAGGGAAAAAAAAAGAATATTTTAGCAGAGGTAATTAAATCACCAAAGTTACCAAAATTACCAAACAATATTTTTTTGAAGAAACAATGTTTTTTTGGAGATAAATATTATAAAATTGCCAAATTTTTGTTTAACTATTTTTATAAAATTTCAGAAAAAGTAGTTTGAGAACTGAAATATATTTTTTTGTAGGAAAAATTAATTGTTTTTGTTTATCGGCCTAAATATTTAGACTGACGTAATTTTTATTTTATAAGCTCGAGGCCCAGATAATACATAAAACACAGGTTTTAGTTCTTTAATTTTTAATATCGATATTTTGACCTCAATCTGAGGTCATCTTCAGGAACTCTTAGTCGTTCCCGGAAAATTTATTTTTATATATTGGAATTGGTTTTTCTTTTTTTTTATTTCCACTTTTTGTTTATTTGGGCCATGTTTTTTGAAATTTTATTTTGTTTCCCCCTTCTTATGGTTTATGATTCCGAAAGGGTTAACCTCAGATAGATCAATAAATAACAAAATTGCCAAGAATAGAAAAGGCAAAAATATGTTTTTCTAAAAAAAAAATAAATTTTGTTATTTACAAAAGAAACCCATCCATCTTTGAAAGAAATTAAATACATATTAAAATCATAATGAATGCAGAGCGGGCAATACCAACTGTTAGTTTATTTGCTCGACTCATCGCAGGAGCTTCCAAACGCCGCATAAAATCATTTGCTCATATACGCAAGCTTGCATGTAGAGTGGCAATAAGGTGAATATGAAAAGCAATTGAATTGTGCAACTACTCATACATACATATCACTGTTTTTAAGCCATTTTGCACTGAATCGGCTTAATAGCTTTGCTCTATTTATAGCTGACTTGCTCTGATGATTATTATAGATTTCGCTTCTTTGCTTTTTTTCAACTGATTGTTTTGATTGCACTTGTGCGTGCAAAATGTGGTCAATCAAATCGATATGAAGCGTCTATTAGATGAATTTGTAGAAATTGTTGCGGTCAGTCATTGTAAAGCGCTTTAAACTATTAGTTTAATTTCAATGCAGTGTTGAACGGTGATATCATTTGTATGCACATGAATGTACATATTTATGTGTGTATTCTAGAGGTTAGCGAAAAACAATTAGCAAATAAAGTAAAGAGGCTTCTGCGCGTTTATTGTGAAAGTGATAATTTTTTTCTTGAAAAATGCAGAATAACCTTTATCAAGCTACTATTTTTTTCACATGAAACACTCCCGTCCCTAGTAAACCGGTTTCACGTACCGGAATAATTAGAGTCTTACGCGACCAAGGCCTGTTGATTCAGCGACCTAATCTTGTTTCGATTGTACTCTTTTGATTCGACTGGCTCCGGACCATAAATCTACTTTCGCTTTATATGTCAAATCCTATGCGAATATTTACTTCAGTTAGGTGCAATAGATATACAACCTATGGAGCCACCTTAAGAATTTATCTGACCTTAGATTCGCAGATAATATACTACACGGTTTGAAAGTTCCTGATACTCAAGCTTAGAGATATGCCAGGGCTGTACAGCTGCATACTGGCACACTGAAATCACACTCTCTGGGCTGCCCACCGCTAGTGATTGGGGAAGTGGCTACCTCGTAACTTGGAGCACAGCTCCGTAAATGCAACCGTAACCCGTGTTAGTGTCAACAACCCCCAGCTGACCATTTTATCCCGGATTGGAGGTTCTAAAAACCCATAATTTAACCTCTGGTGTGATTAAACTTTCGTCAACTCTACGACCTTTGTGCATTTAATTCGGTGCTTAAGCCTTGCTTGATCTGAAGCAATGCATGAGTTTTTGGACCCTTCAGTGGTATAAGCTTTCAAACCCATTGTACTCGACGAGGTTAGTATGCTTATGCTGAAAAAATTGAGCCAAGTTCCTTCTTTTAACATATTGTTAGGGGGACCACTAGCTTATGTCTGATGTAAACTGTGTCTTTTGAAAAGGAATCAGAATGTTCTAGTGTGTCTAGTCTCTAAACACATAGTCAGTGGTATGTATTTATAATGTAGATTTTATTGACACAAGTTATTCAATTAGAATATTCTTACCTTGCAACCTTCACATGTGAATGCGCCAAAATGAAATCCAGCCGCAGGCTCACCGCACACTTTGCACAGCTGGTTCATCTGAAAACAGCAAAAAACTAAATGTTAAATTTCAGTAATTTAAGCAATTTTCTGTGCGTAGAATAACAATCAAAAATAGTTGTAACTAAAACGAACTTTATAAACTCAATCCATGCATTTTCTTCTTGATTGGCGCTGAATTCGCTTAGGTTATTTCGGCCTAGTTGAGTTGAATAAAGCACGCCGCGCTTGAAATAATTACATTATTACAATTAACTTTATACGGAACATCGAGTTACAAGTGCATACGGTGCTAACTGCCCATTGGGTTACTACATTAAATTAGAGTTTATGACCTGCCCGATTATTGCATATGGCTCATTGGCTCTGGTGGAAAGTCACTTTTGCTGTACAAAGTCAAGCAGTATGCAAAGGTCGATTGCGTTGCATAAACCTAAATTTAACTTGGGCGCACGCTGTACTCTTCCAACAATCCAGTTAAATATTTTTAGCAAATCAGACTTTATATTTGATAAAAACTTCCATCATTGCAACTTCAAGTATTCTTTAAGGAAGGATTAACTTTTATTTTTACCGGTGGCTCATAAATCACTTGCTATGTGGGAGTGGCACTTTTTTAATATAGTCGAATATTCTTGTGCACAAATCAATGGAGGAAAAATATCGTTTTTTTTTTGGACAGTCTATTGGCTCTTGTCTCTGCGACAATTGCTACTAGAGGGTTTTTAGGTGCAGATTCCTCAGCACTGGCTAAACATGGCTAAGCAGAGATGAAAGGGTCCTCTTACCAAAAGCATAAGACTTTCTGCAGTTTTTACAAGTCACTGGGCTTTGAGCTATGATGGAAATAGACAACAACATCTAGCCTAGGCTGCGATGTGGTTCCTTAGGGACCTTACCGAACATTCAGGTATATTTAGATTTTTAATTAATGTTTATGTATGCCACAAAAAAGCAAATAAGTACATATAAAGCTAGTAATGTGTTTTGATTTTGCAAAAATATGAGGTTTTTAATGCCCAAAATAACTAAATTCAGAAGCTTACGATTCCACTTTTTACAAGAAAGTAATGATTGCATTCCGCTCTCCACTCCAGCTGGGTAATAAAACTATAACTTAAAAATAATTTTAAAAATATGTTGGATTATTTAAACTCCAGGAGGGAGTGGAACCTTGGCTCAAGCGGTCAACTGACCGGCACATTATACTATGTCGTTCATCTGGTCAGGTTTTTAAAAAGAGCCAAATACATATAGTGATCGAAAAAATTATAGCCGCACCACATTTTGAGAAGTTTTAATATATTGTTTTTTTTTTCAATTTAATTTTAGTTATTTGTTTTATAAAAATATAGGTAACTTTTAACCAAAACCTATGCAAATCAAAGTTTCAAACTTTCGACAGCCAGGCAGCCATTAACGCACTAAAAACTCTTGAAACTTGAAAAACTCGCTTTGTGTTCGAAAATTCACGAATAAAATTGACCGATTTTGTCTGAATGCACGAGCTGGTATGCCAGCCACAAGCGTGGTATACTTTCCATTGAATACACGGCAGGCACTTACCTCTATCTTAATTAGATATAGCAATGGAAAGCGTTAGCATCTTACAGGATAACTAATGTCGTTTTTTTATTTTTTTAATGTTGCCTTTTCACTGCCCTTTTCTTAGTATTTGCGAACAAAAAGCATTGAGAACGCAATATTTTTCGATACGAAAAAAATTTAAATAAGGTAATGCTTCGTTCTTAGAGTGCAAAGTCTCCTACTATTTTCTAGCGCTTCCAATTGTGTATTACAAGATACTACTGTTTGGGGTACTAACAGAACATTCTCTCACGCCATTTAATGCACTCAAGTTTAGACGGACACAGGGGGAAAACTTAACAGCATTCATGTCATCACTAGTAACTCCAAAGATACAACAAAATAACTCCTGTGTCACTGCTTTATAAGATGGCAAATCAGCTACCATGGCTCGTTGTTATTTCTTCACTGTATGAAATTCTTGACCAAAGTACCAGGATATTTTTAAAATTGGCTAGAAAGTGCATTACGAATCAGTTTTACGACTAGGCCTCCTCCACCTTCTTGTTAACACTAAATGCGAGTACTAAATAATCCTCTATGTGAGATCTCATGTGAAGGTTATATTCGCTACGCTGCTTATTTATTTACGTTGAATATGCATACGTACATATTGCCATTTAAATGCTCATAAAAATTAAATGTTTTGCATATAAGTAATAGCAATTTGCGGTAGCATTGGTAGAACAAAAGAGAAAAGAAAAAGTTAAAAAATAGTTAGGCGCTTATGTTGTATTTTACGTTTTCTATCCATGTAAAACCACTTGCTGACAGCAAATGTTTCTGGAACTCATAAAAATTCTATCTTCTACACAACATCACACATATAAGTATATGGTCGCAACTTGTCCAAATAGATTAGATTTTGTTTGTGCCCATGGCGGAGTCATTTCACTGACATAAATTTTATTGTTACTTCTGTTCTTACTTCTGGACATTTTTAATTGTGGTTGAAAATGTGAGAATATACTGCGGCAGGCGAATGTTTTCCTTGGGTTTGTGCCTTAAGTCTTTTGTTTGGGTCTATACAGATGTGTGCTACCTTTATTACTGCGGCAAATTGTGTGAACGAACGACAACCAGTATAGTTTAAAAAATTATTTGGCGACGTGTGCTAAAGGTAGAACTCTTGTTCTCTCTTTCGTATCCTATTACTTTAAGCCATTAATCCTTATATGCATATATAGGTTTCTCGGAAACGGTTCTAATGATGTTAAGTTTTAAGTTTTTTAGAACTTTAGCCCAGAAATATTTTCATTGAGGGTTGCCACGTTTATTTTTTGTAATCCAAATTTGTGCCTCATTAATTTTAACACGCAAACATACATCCAAAACTGAAGTGGAGTTCAACGAGACAAATTTCAGAAAGTTTTACTGCAAACATATTTTTAGAGGGGGCTGCCACCTGTTTAGAAATTGAAAATCAATTTTGTTAAATGAAATATTTTGATATTAGTGTCCAACGAGAGAGTTGTATAAAATGCTTTTTTGCGAAAATATTTTTGGAGAAGGTTGCCATCTCTTTAAATAATTAAAATAAATTTAAAGAACAAGTTAGATAAAATCTTTTAAAACGGTTATTAGAGGAGAAAGGTTGTAAGAAAGCTGTATCTCTTTCGAAAATATTTTTTACGAGCATTGCCACCGGTTTAGAAGTTTAAAATAAATTTAGTTGGCATTTAATGGAAATATTTTCGAGTCAGTTGTCAGTAAATCTGGCATGGACATTGCTTACGACTTGGATTAATATATATTATATTTTTAAAGAGGGTTACCACCTGCTTAAATTGCTAAATTAATGTTTTGATTATAATTTCGACAAAATTTCAAAATATAGATGCCAAACTAACGTGATTTAAAACAGCTTTTTTACACCAAAACTTTTAAGAGAATTTCCTTTGCTTAAAACTTTAAATTCAAGTTTATTAAAAAGTTAAATGAGGTGTTACAAAATGGGTGGCCAACGAGAGATATTGATATGAAACCAAAAGTGTTGCGCAATTCTTAAAAGATTTGTCACCTATAAAAGTAACTAAAAAAGTATATATAATATATAAGGACTAGCTACGAAATTTAAGTGTTTTTTTTTTAAATAAATAAATATCCAATTTAGTTGAAATTCAATACATTGACCAAGTTCTGTAACCCTGAGATAATAAGAAATTAAACAAAAATTATTTTGGATGATATAATTTAGTTTTATTTTTGTTGCATTTGAAATCACAAGCTGCGTGCAAAAGCAAGTGTTACATAAGAAAATATTTATAAATTTTAGCTATCTGAATCACCATTATTTAAAAGCCAAACCTTGGCTCTAATTTAATTTTTAAAAACTTTTAATAGTACATCCACTCCCAACAAAGCTCTTTGTGAAGGTAAGCGGCTAAGAAGAAATGGTAAGTAAACATTTTGTATTGAAACTCAACCAGATGTCCTGCTTCCCTAATAACCATTTGCGTACAAAAATTTCTTTGCCAGTTCATGCGCATGTCGCATACCTTCAATGGGGGAATATTTCTTTTGCTAAAAAAATCTATTTGCAATTACATTTTCTTTCTCTATCCTGAATGTTTAAGGTTTTTCGCATTTGGTGTTATTTTTTTTTTGTTTGCTGTGCACGCCAATTTTTCTTGTTCGCCTACTAAGTAGATGTGGCAAATGGCATAATTTCCCTGCGGCTTTCAGTAGGTCAAACATGTTCACAGGCTTTTCATACTAGCTAAACCGACTGTCTGGTTGTAAAAAATGCCTGGGCAGAAATCGAATAATAAGAATTGAGTAAAAAAATGCAAAAGTAAAAAAAAAAATAAAATAAAACTCCAATGAAAACAACAAAAGCGCCTCTACATATTGTGTGACCGTTTAAGTTAAACTTCACATTGAAAAATGTTGTTGCCACATAGTGGATGCGCCAATATTACAGGCGCGCCGACTACAGCTTCTTCATTGCCGTTGTTTACATGTTTTTTTCTTCGCTTTTCGGCTTGCCGGGCTAACAATGCATTTTGGGTTTTTATTTTTTTGTTTTGTTTTCCTTTTGCTTGGCGCAGCAGACTTCTTGGCATGGTAATCGCTACTTTGTTGTTGTAAGCACGCCTGTGAAAATTTTTATGCTGCTGCTGATGTTCCTGCTCCTGCTGGTGCTGCTGCTGCTGCTGACTTGTTTGGCTTCAATATTGAACAGTTGTTGTTGCTTTTGTTATTGCTGCTGCTTTCTCACTTCTTTGTCTCTATGTAGGGAAACAACATCACGCCGCTGCCTTGGGTTTTGAGTAGGTGGCAGGCAGGTCGTTTTGGTCGCGACTTCACGGTTCACGGTTAATAAAAAATAATAAGGAAACACAAGACCAATGGAAGAAACTAAGAGGAAGGCAAAGCTTTTAGGGAGGTAAATGCGAGTTCACTTTAGCAATATCGGCGCAGTGCCGCGGCAGACGACACTTGCAGCGCAA